GTTCAGGCAGAATTATGCTTCAGAAACGTGCCTTCTCTACAAGACAAAGCCTCATATGCCGTTTGCTTGTTCTTCAGAGTGTTTTCTGAAGTTCAGTTTCCCTCCTATACTCACAGGCTTGACGTTTCAGGTGTAAGCTTCTTCATTTTCATCTCTCAAAGGGAAGAATCCTACTTTTAAAATTAAATTTGCCCTTCTTAGGTGTGGACTAATCACAGGAGGTGATTTAATTGATAGATAATTGTTCTTAAGAATGGCAGGTGCTTTAAACTCATTTCTTGCACATACTATTATCTTCTGCACCGGTGTGTTGTATATGGGTTGGGAGAGAAGGAGGGACCCCCCCCCTCCAATGATGGTTTTGTATGCACCTTTTGGGGTACACCCAGTACTGCCCTTCCCTTCACCCAATTAAAGCAGCTGAGTTTTGTTTTAACTGGCTGCCTCTATAGAAAGGTAAATCGACAAGAGTAACATGTAAGTGGCAGGGATCCTAATATATATAAATCCCTCTATGGTAGTTTTAAGTGTGTTGGTTCTCCTGGTTGTCATGGTAGCAGACTCAAACCCACTGAAAATTAGTAGAAATCCAGGTCCATGTAAAAAGACCTTGCATGCTGCTCACTATTCTGTCTCACGTGGTATCTTATGGGAGGAACTGGATGATCATCCTGCTATTATAGCAACCTACAGGATGACCTTGATGTATTTTTGGTTTTGCCGCAGAAATCAGCCTTGGGTGGAACGCTAATACAAGTCACAGGTTGCCCTGGTTAATGCCTTGAGCAAGGGAATGCTGTAGTCTTTGTATGCTCTAGATTTAGACACATGGTACTTTGTCTATGAATCAGTGTGCTGTCAGCTTAGAACCAGGAGGCTTGTAGTAGAGTGGTTAAACTGCAGTACTGCCGCCAAAACTCTGCTCACAACTCAGGTTCAACCCCAGGGTGCTGGCCCGAGGTTCACTCGCCCTTCCATCCTCCTGGTTGATTGAGTACCCAGGTTGCTGGGAGCATGTGTGTGTGCGCTAAGTGTAGCCTGCATAACTAAATTGTAACCTCCCCTCCCCCTGAGAGTGCTCTTTGCCGCAGAAATCAGCCTTGGGTGGAACACTAATACAAGTCACAGCTTGCCCTGGTTAATGCCTGGAGCAAGGGAATGCTGTAGTCTTTATACGCTCTAGATTTAGACACCTGGTACCTTGTCTATGAATCAGTTTGCTGTCAGCTTAGAACCACGAGGCTTGTGGTAGAGTGGTTAAACTGCAGTACTGCCGCCAAAACTTTGCTCACAATCCAGGTTCAATCCCAGGGTGCTGGCCCGAGGTTCATTCGCTCTTCCATCCTTCTGGTTGATTGAGTACCCAGCTTGCTGGGAGCATGTGTGCGTCCGCTAAGTGTAGCCTGCATAACTAAATTGTAACCTCCCCTCCCCCCCGAGAGTGCTCAAGCACTATGAGGAGGTATATAAGCAGCACACTTTGCTTTTTCTTTTCCTTGGTCATTGGGAAAGGCACTTCCGCTTTAATGGCGGCTCTGTGTGTGTGATATGCCATCAGGTTGCATCAGGCTTATGAGATATTCAAGGAGTGATTCTACCATTGCCTCTCCTAGTGGGCTCCCACGACTGAGCTGGGATTTGAATCCAGGCCTCCTGACTCATAGTCTGACAATACATCCACTGCCCCACACTGGCTCTCAGAAAGGAAAGTACTAAAAGCATAAATTTGGGGGTGGATGGTGGGTGGGCTCACTGCTGTTACCTTGAGCAAAACACACTTGCCCGGGGCACAGAACACAGCAGCCTGCTCTGCAGGGTTTCCTCGGGCTTCAGAGGCATTTGGAGGCAAAACGGCAACTGCAGCCACTCGTCTTGGTATCTCTGTGGCTCTTAAGACAATACCATAGTCTCTCAAGACTGAAGGATGCCTACACACAAGACTCTTTCAAAAACACAAACAAGGCCCCTAAAATCTTCTTGTACTGTACATGCTGCTCTGGTGACACCTCCTGCCCTCCCCATAAGCTTGCTGGGCATGGCCCATGGTGCTTTCTTTATTAGGGCCCACTTCCCCCAGGAGCTTGGCAGGGAGGGGCGGAGGGCACCTTGCTTGTAGGCCTCCCCAGTCCAAACATTAGCTACCAGCCTGAGTTTCACAGAGAATCTCAAAGATGTGATGCCTTCTGGTAAAACCAAGGCACCTTGTCACTGAGTGACTCTGTGCCTGCATGTGTGCAGTGAGAGGAATATTAAGAATTCATGCTTGGAAAAGAGAGGGTTGAGCTGCAGTGGCTGCTGGTGGGCTTTCCCTTTTTTGTCGGAAATGCTACTGTTTTGGACTCCAGTCCCAGAATACCCCAGATAACGTGGCCGCTGCTCTGCTTTTGGGTCGTTTTGGAAGAAGGTTGATGTACTGTATCATAATAATAATAATTTATTGTCATTGTAAGTAAATACACAGAATACCCATACAATGAAATTCACAGATCGTTTGTGACTCTGTACCTGTGGACAAACTTCTCTAGCAGCACAGGGCTGAATCTTTCTCACACCGAACAAGAGAGTTGCCCGCTTGCTTCCCAGGGAGTGTTACTGCAGGAAGGCAGCAGAACTCCCAAAGCACAATGTGTAAAAGCTGATCTTCACGTTGTGTCAGGCCAAAAAGAATTAAGACCTCTCCTCGTCCCCCAGTTCTCAGCCTTCCCTAGGAGATAGTCTGCCCAGACAGGGTTGGTGGTGGTGGGTCCCAACAAGGGCAGTTTTCTACCCCCACGAACAGCCACAGACTGCACACATACCCCTCCATGCTCTGGAAAATTGGAATTAAAACCTGAAATGGGTGGATGCTCGCTTCTGGTTTTGATTCGCGGAGGGAGCGGGCAAAGGAAGGCCCAAGCTGGATCTGCACCTCATTTTAATGCAAAACCATTCTTCCAGGAGCAACATTCAGTATTTCTTGGTGTAATTGTTTTGCAGATGTCAGAGGCCTGCTGTTCAGAACCAGTTTCAGGGGGGCTGTGTAGCCAGATACTCATACTCTGCCCACCTCTAGGCTGGTGGACTTCCTGGCAGGGGTGGATTGGGTGAGAGCCACTTCTGGTTTCCGACCTCTCTTTGTGCACCCGTTCTCGCTCTCCTTTTTGTTCCCTTCAAAGAGCCCCCTGAGCTACCTCAATTACGTTGCTCCACTAAGCAGGCTTGGGGGCAGAAGGCCAAGAGATTTAACCGCCCCTTTCCCCAGTCAGTGTGCCCCCTACTCAAGTAGGGGAGTGAGGCTTGGCTCAGGGGCAGAGGATGAAGAAGATGCTGTTGCACCTCTGTGATGATGAGAACACCCCCCCCCAACTACATTACCACGCTCTCTGGAGCCATCAGCAGCACTTACAAGACCTAAAACCCCAAAGGTGCATCTACAGCTTTCGTTTAATCAAACATTTCCGAGAGCTAGCTGAATTTTATGACACCAGCTGAAAACACCTAATCTTGCACTTTAGCTTCTAGCTGCAGTTTCCATTGTTGCACTCTTTAGGTGTGGTTGGGCACCCTGCTTTTAATCACAGGCAGCATGACTCTGCTGTGTTTTGCTTGTACTGAACCCTGCTTTTGAATTATTTTTGTAATAAAATCAGCAATGCATAATGCAAGTATCTGTTGCTTTGTCGTTCCCTGTCTCACCAGGACATAAAGCAAGCTCCTTGAGCTGGGAATGTGAGGTGCTCAGAACCAACCAAAGGAGTGTGGCTCCTTCCCTCCCAGAAGCCTTGCTGTACGAGTGCTTTTGTAAGGCTGCTGCTTAAGGCATTCTTCTCCAGAGACCTTGGATAAGGCAGTCCTGAATCTTGATAATTAAGAATGCACAAAAAGATTTGGAGGGAATCTTGTTTAATGTTTATTATAGGTGACCTCTAGTCAAACACAGACCGCCAGAGGTCAGAATGCCTTTCACAGCCAGACAGAAGAAGGAATGTAAAACCTTTATATTGTGGGTCCCGGCTTTGATTCTGGTCCAGCTAACTTCAGTGGTCCACAATCACCTTTCTGATGGTCCATCCTTTCCTACAGCTCGTCTTCATAGCCATCTGGGAGTGGGTTAGTATGGGGATTATGTAGAAGGGTGTGATTCCCATCTTTCCAAGGGAAAGGCTATGGAAAGAACAGAGGGGGCAGTTTTAACCTGCTGCAGCTCAAAAATGCAGTTGATTACATACAACAGCACATGCACTGAAAAGAGTTTGAAAGTTTAAACTTGTCCCTTGCAAAGCCCTGTGGAAACTTCCAGGGATTGACTGCTACGCCCTGTGTTACAGGAAGGCTTTATCAGCACTTCCTTATCACTGGGTTTTATATCCTCCATTTCCCCAAATATTCTCACGGCAGGTTACAATTCTGGAGACAACAGTAAACCATTGTGACTGGACCGATTTGGAAACAGCTGTTGTTGAGTACATCTTCACCCTAAGAGGCCTGCCTGGGGGGGCGGGGGGAGGAGGAGGAAGAGGATCTTCACCCTAAGAGGCCTGCCTGGGGGGCGGGAGCCGAGGGAGGAGGAGGAAGAGACAGCCATGTTCAAAGCAGCTGGCAAGACCAAGCTGGCTAATCTGTGACAAAGATGCCCACCTCGAGGATGCCTCCATAGTTCTACATTACAACTACGGCTTCCACCTTTTTCCTGCCAAAAGCCATGCTGTGTCCTGGTATATGTGAAGAGCACCACCTTAGCGTACAATTTTTAATTATACAGGCTACACACTTTGAGGCTGCCTCCATAGTTCTACATTACAACTACAGCTTTGACCTTTTCCTGCCAAAAGCCATGCTATGTCCTGGTATATCTGAAGAGCACCACCTTAGCAAAGGCTGCTTCCGAATACAAAAAGGTTATTCTCTGGCCTCCCCATTAAGGGGCCTCTACTGCTCCCTTCAGAAGAAACCCAACTCGTATGGTCCTTCATTTTCTACCAGAAACTTCCTCTTGCCACAAAGTACCCAGAACCAAAGACGGTTCTGCCCGAGGGAGGCCACTAGCAAATAAACCTTGCAGCATTTCCTGTTATGTCTACTGATTTCTTCAGAGCTGCTGCTGGGCCCCTAAGGCCTGACTGGTAAATTCTGCATCCTCCACAATGTGTCCAGAGACCAGGAGATTTAGTAAGAACCTCCTTCATGAGGAATACAGGGCTCACATATTTTAGAGACACAGCAGGCCACTGTATGGGAGTACACATTTTTGAAAGGTCAATAGTGTACTTGGACCTTATCACAGAAACTTTCTATTTTGGGGACAGAAGTTGCGGGTGTGGTGATTAAAAAATCAAACAAAACATACAACCTCTTTGGTCTGAGACTCAACGGAGTCCAGAACAGCAAAGCGTTTCTGAATGGGATACCTTAGTCCGGATGCGAAGATAGGGATAAGGAGCAAATTCCGGCCTTTCGTGCTTTTCTTTGCCCTTCAAGTAGGCATTCAGCATGCAGACCGCAACGCCAGGAAACGCAACGGTGTAGGACAGGATCTTCCACATCCGAGCTGGTGGAAAAGATTCACAAATTAACAGTGGTTAGTTCATTCCAGCGGTTAGTTGTTAGTTCATTCCACAGAAGCAAGAAACACTGAACAGCAGTGTCCTTAGGGTAGAATCCATCACGCTGACTGTCCAAGCATTTCAGGGTGCAAGCCTTTGTGACTGTGAGGAAATGCAGGGCCAAAACTGTTATGATCCTGGGCTCGAGGCCTAACTCATGGGACGTGAGGTCAGCTGCAAAAAAAGATGTTCCCATGAGAAGGGTGCTGCCATCATCTTGAGCGCTGGCCAAGGCTGGCCTGCCCGAGAACCAGAGCGGGCAGTACTTATTTCACTCCCATTGCCTTCTCATGGAGACATGCAAGTTTGCCAGTATTCTCTAAAATTTTGATGAATCCAGATTTGAACTGCCTGGTGGGTATCAGCAGCAGGGCTCCTGGGGGTTACAGCAGATAAGAAGACCTTTGGAGGTCTGTGTAAGCTCTACTACGTTCTGATTGTTAAGTTGGCAGAGCAGGCTTGTTTGCATTTTTCTTTCCTGTGAGCCTTTTAAATACTGGTACACTTACATTTATTTGTTTGTTTGTGGCTACCCCCACCTTTCTCCTTAAAAAAGTAATTTGTGTTTACCTGATTGTAAGACCTAGCAGGGTGGTAGGAAAGCTCAGTGGTTTAGGTTATCTCGCTGCAGAGCCAGAGGTTGGGAGTTCGATTCCCCCCCACTGGGCCTCTCAGAAGAGCCAGCCTGGGTAGCCCTGGGCCAGCTGCAGAGTCCCAGAAAGGCCCCCAGAAGAAGGGAAGGGTCAACCCCACCTCCGAGTCTTCTCTACCTGGAAAACCCCGGAAAGGGTCACCAATAAGTCAGAACTGGCTTGAATGGGACATTGATGGCATTAATTGTGTGCAACGATTTTATACTTGTCACAGGTTTTGTCCGGTAATCCAAAGTCTGGATTCACTTTTGCCAGCTATGTTTATGGTATTTTAAGATGTCTGTAAGCCACCCTTGCCAAGCCGCAAAACGGCTGGGTAGAAATGTGAATTATAAACATTGAACAGATCCAATGATATTCAACAGAAATATGGATGGATGGATTTAATAGATTTTTCAACCCGCCTTTCTCCTTAAAGAGAGCCCAAGGCGGCTTACAACGATTAAAAAGGAAGGATTTAAGATGAGCAACCATGAGGATTTATATTAATTATTAACGTTTCATTCATTTAATTTAATCAGTGTCCAATTAATTGGTTTAATTAGCATGTTCCAGGCATTTAGAGGGCTGCGGGGGAGGGGCCCTTCTGGGCGGTTCCAGCAACCCCCCCAAAAAAGTAACTTTTCCGCTCTCTCCTTGGCCCAGATAGTTACCGGAACTTTTTTTGTGCTCCGAGGCGACGGAGACCGCCGCCGACAGGAGCCTCCTCAGCCCGGCCCGGGGAACCGGAGCCGCCGCCATCCCCCGAGTGACCTTTCCGAGAACCGCCGCCATGTCTGCGCTCCCTCCAGTCCGCTCTAGGGCGTCGAGCGGCCGTTCGCTGCGTCGGAAGCGGAAATGAGGAGACGCGCCGCCGGCGCCGCGTGATGACGTCAAGAGACCTCTCTCACCCACCCCCAGGAACCTAGGAAACGGGAGGGCCGAGGACGCTACGGCATAGAGTTATAGTTCTAAACGGAGGCGTCCACCGTGCACTTCCGTGTTCCCAAGCGGTGCCAATAGAAGTCATGGAGGACGTCCCTGGAAAAGTTACTTTCTGCGCCTTTTCCAAGCCCTGCAAACAGGAGCAACAAAGATGGGGGATTTCTGCTCTCTGCAACTTAATTTTTAATTTCCAGAATGGGAAATTTTTTTTTCAAAGCTGGAAGTTACTCCCTCCAGGAATTCGTTACTCCTTTGGATGAGTGCAAAGTGGATTGATATTTTTACTGCTCTCCGTTACCGGTGCTTTACTGTGGGTTTAGCAACAGAAAAATCCAGGATTGATGGGTAGTCTCCCGCTCCGTCTAGTGGCCCGTTTTGCTATTGCACCTTGACTATTTAAACTCAGGGAGGGCCCCAAAAACATTATTTTCTTTTGTCTGCAACTTGGAACGGATTAAAAAAATGGCATGAAAAACCAAAATATTCCTCTCGAAATCCCTTTAAAATGCAACTTCTGAAAGTTAACCAGTGAAATTATCCGTTACGCCAAAAACAAACAATTTGTTGTGTTACTTTTGAAGTGGAAACTTGGCCACATCCTCATTATCTAGCAAAAGTAACAAGTTGCTCGTAACAACATTACTGTACTTGCAACCAGTTATTTCCAATAACTGGTGGAAAAAGTTTCAGTGGGTGCCCAGTCCAGACGGGCACCACCTTGGTCACCAACTGCTGGGGGAGACAGTACGAACTTTCTATCTCCCCCTTGCTGGGCATCCTTCAGAGGTGTTGTACAGGACTACAAAACCCATCATCTGTTGAGTAAGAGGTGGTTGGTCCATGAGAGCAAACAGGATGTGAGCCCGCCTCAGTCCGCCTAGGGATTCCTGCTCACCTCCTTGCCTCCGGAGGACCCTTCCTCTGTTCCCCTCTTGCTGTCTCTTTTTGTGTGTGTGTATTTGTGCGAATGCCTCCCGGCTGTGCGATGACCTTTCTGTGCCCGTGTTGTCTATAAATATTCGCTCCCACCCCACGTCCGCCTGACTTCCCGCTCTCTACCCTCCTCTCTTTTGCCTGCTGCCCCATGGACACCCCCCACGAGGCATTGGCCGCCATTGGGTTAAGACTGCCGTGTTATTTCAGGCTCATCCTCATTCCGGGGGCAGAAGGCAGAAATCTTGCAAAGGTGCAGGATTCACCTTGTAAGGAACCGCCGGCCCCGATGATGAGAGTGTAGGATCTGCCAGGGCCAGGGGATGGCAGAGCGAGCATGGCCTGTGAGCCAGGAAGAAGCTCCGTCCACCTCTCAATTTACACGTTTTTGCCAAGCTAAAAGTAGATCGGCTCTAATCTTGTAATTCACAGGGTCATTGCGAGGATAAACCCCATATGTCACCCTGAGCTCATATAGATGACATTTTATTTACTTTCCAGCTTTTCGATCCCTGGCATCTAGCAGTGATAATTACAGGCCCAGAGGCAAAGCAGGGGAAAGTTTTGGAAGACAAGCAAAAGCCTTCTCTAATGCCAAAAACACATCGGAACAAATCATATTAAAACACTATACGCAGAATTAAAAAGCAATTTGAAAAATGGATCAGTGAACAAGTGTAGCACTCAGCTATTCAACTCCTCCACCTTTTCTTAATGGCCAATCAAGGGCTGAAACAGACAGATTTTACTTACTTATTTACCTACTTTCTGACATAACTATGAAACAGACAGATTTTACTTACTTATTTAGTTACTTTTTGACACAACTACGGGAGGCAGTGGTCCATGGGGTCACGAAGAGTTGGACACAACTTACTTATTCGATTTACTTACTAGAGTTGGACACGACTAAACGACTAGAAGATGATTTACTTACTTATTCGCGCGGCTCCCTCGCTGGGTACTTTTAAGAAACAACTGAAAACATGGATGTTCAGGCAGGCCTTCCCCCCTATTTAATCCCTGACCTTTTCCCTTTCCTTCTTTATTATGTTTTCTATCTCCATCTTATTGAATTTTTAAATTATGTACAGATTCCTTTTTTTATTTATATATTGTTCTTGTATATTTTTTTCCCTTTGTGTGTTGTAAGCCGCCTAGAGTGGTCAATATGACCAGATAGGCGGGGTATTAAATAAATGAATGAATGAATGAATGAATGAATGAATGAATGAATGAATGAATGAATAAATAAATAAATAAATAAATAAATAAATAATGTGTAGCCTGCATAATTAACTTGTAAACCACCCAGAGTGTGCTTGAAGCACCATGGGGTAGTATATAAGCAGCACACTTTGCTTATTTATTAAATTTCTATACAGTACCACCTAGTGAACTGCTGGGTAAGTGGTTTAGGTCTCTGGCTGCAGAGCCAGAGGCCATGAGTTCGATTCCCCCACTGGCCTGCTGAACAGGGGCTGAACTTGATGACCTATAAGGTCCCTTCCAGCTCTGCCATTCTCGAATGATTATGGATTATAGTGGCATGCTGCTACTCTGGGTGGTTTCCAGCAAAAGGATAAACATAAACATAACAAAAACAATCATTTCTGCATCCACATCACAATAGTACATTAAAAAAGTGACTCACAAAGAGCACAAGAATGGGGCCATGGACAAATACAAACATTAAAAAAAAACAAATAAGTCATAACAAAAGCAAGAAACGTGCTGCTTATATATACATTCCCATAGCAAGCACTCTCTGGGCAGTTTACAAATTAACGTAATTATGCAGGCTACGCATTCCCCCCCCCCGCGAGCTGGGTACTTATTTTACCAACCTCGGAAGGATAGAAGTCTGAGTGAACCTTGAGCCGGCTACCTGGGATTGAACCCCCCAGGTCATGAGCAGAGTATTGGCTGCAGTACTGCAGTTTAACCACTATGCCACGAGGCTTAAAAGAAATAAAATTAATAAAAAAAATTAAATCGGTGGATGACGTGGCATTGCTGGTGGTGAACAGCTCCAGTGATCCCGGCGGTCTGAGAATGCAGGGCACCCTGGACATTTTCTGCCCTAGAGTGAGTCTTGCAATTGGGGGTGACTCTGGTGCACCTCTTGCTTTACCTCCCAAGGAACAAGGCTCAGAAAAAGGACCCTTTTGCAGGGGTCTTTCTCTTGGTCCCACCACCTCCATAGGTCCATTTGGTGAGGGGACACAGGAGAGGATCTTCTCTATGGCTGCTCGCAGACTTTGGAACTCCCTCCCACTGGAAACCGGTCTGCCCCCTTCTTTGCTGTCCTTCTGCAAGATGGCAAAGACATTCCTTTTCAAGAAAGCCTTCCCCCACTGAAGGGCTGCCTGGATGGGCTTCTTAAATGGACTGTTATGCCTTCCTGCTTTGTGTGTGTTTTTAGTATCGCTTGTGTTTATCATTTCTCAGAGTGGCATTTGTTTGATCGTTTTTTAGTATTTGTATAACTTATTGTTCTGAGCTTTAAATATTGTTTGATCCTTTTAAAAGTATTTGTATACTTATTGTTCTGAGCTTTAAATATTACCCTCTAATGTTGCAAGTGACCTATCTTTGCATACTTCCTGTTTTTGGCTTGAAAACATTGTCTTTTACTGAAGTAAGCCGCCTGGGGTCCTTTTAAAAGAGAAAGGCGAGATTTAAAAAAATTATATCTTTTAAATAAATAAATAAATAAAGATGGAAAAGTGAGCCTGGCGGAAGAAAGGGGAAGGGGGGGGGGAAAGCCGGGTGAGGGCAAGGAGGCTGGATCTTAAATCTGTATGCTCTTCAAGTAGCGAGGCGGGAGAGATCTGGCAGACAAAGAAACGAGTTTCTCTGGGAAACAAGATGGGGGCACCCGGACGAGCCCCCCCCCGAGGCTTCCAAGTTAGGATCGCCTGCCTGCGGTCTCTCCCTCCCCCCTTGGCACCTTTCCCTGCCTTCTGGGCCAATGGGCCTGAAAAAAAGAACTTTTCCAAGATCTGGGGAAGAACCCGGGAGGAAGCGTTCCGCCAGGAGGGTCCCGGGGAGCACAGAAGGCAGGAGGAGGGAGCTGCCCCCCACCCTTCCCCACGATGTGTCCTGGAGGTGGGGAGGGGGTGCCCTTTCCCCTGCCCCCTTTCCCACCGGTGCCAACCTCTCCTCCCGACTCTCGCTTGCCCTCTTAGCTTTTGTCCCCAAGAGCGGACCTTGGAAGCCCCCCAACACGGACGCACCAGCCCCGGGGAAAAGTCAACCGGCCCGCGCTGCAGGTGGGCGGCCAGGAAGGGGCCCCAAAGCTGCCCACGCGGGGGGGGGAACCCTCTTTTAATGTTGGGCCACGCGTCTGCCCCCCTTTTCTGCCCACCCCGAGAGGGGGATGCTGAGGACGGGCCGAAGATGATGAGGTTTGCTCAGTACCAAGCCGTCCGGGGCGCCCTTGCGCGCTCGCCGGCCGCCCGCTTTTTCCAACCTCCCCCGAAAACTCCTCTGTGCGCGCCCCCCCCCCCCCCCCTCCGTCTCTCTTCGTTCCCGCACAGAAATGCAAACGGTGGTCTACAACTGCATGACCATTCCGACATACAGTATGTCCAAAACAACGCTTTTTTCTCTTTTTGTACAAGGGGGGGAAGGGGGGTGCGTGGAATGCCATTGTCCTGCCTTTCAGAAAGGGGTCTGGGAGGGCCATGCAAATCTTCATTTGAAGACCCTGGGAACTGGGTCTCCGGGAGGAGGAGGAGGGGTTTCTCTCGAGGGCTCTTTGGGGGGGGGGGAGATATGGCTCCGCTCCTCTCCTCCCCACAGGCTCCATCCCAGAGCAGGAGAGCCAGTCAATAAGGGGAGGCTTCCTGGCCTCCCTTCGCTCTTTCTCTTTGAAGGAACAAGGGGGGGTGGGAGGAAAGAGAGAGATCTCTCGTGTCAGCGCGCAGGCACCGCCGGTTGGGTGCGAAATAACCTCGCGCACAGGGTGTGCAAAATGT